GCAAAGTATTAAAGAGTGAACAAGATAACAAATATAAAATATTTTAGTATCAAACATTAAAGTCCATATTGAGTTTACATTATACTTATTCTTACACCATTAGTGTAACTTTTTCACCTTGACATAATAAACTTAGCTAAACATAATGAAAGAAAGAAAAATAAATAAAAGTTAACAAAGTAAAGGAAAGGAATTGAAAGGCACAAACTTGATATTAATAAAAGCAAAACGTAAGCATTATAAAAATACAAAGAGAGAAAGCAAGAGCATGATCTTGATCTAGAAATCAAGATGCCTAAATGCATGGCAAATGCCTTCTTTTATAGGCCAAAATTGGGAAATATTGATTTGATGACTAATTGCCTAGTGGGTGTTGATGACTAATTGATGAGTGGGTGACCGATTCTTGACTTAGTGACAATCCTTATCTTCTCTTGTCTGTTCAAAACATCATTGATAATGTTAAAATTAAAACCACTTGAAACATGAAAGTTATAAGAAATTGTCTCAGCTTTCTAGGGTAAACAATTAAGGTTATTTGGACTTCTAGAACTCTAGATATGGGCCTAACACTAAATAGTGCTCAGGCTGGAGGATAGATTCGAACTTCTTTGTTGCTGCTATAATTTGGACTAGACTTAATAACTTTTGTCATATTAAAACATGTTTGGCCTAAATAAAATACAAGACTTGGTTATGGGTTGAAGCATGTGAATATTATACGTAAAAGTTATGAAGTTTGGATTAGAAAAGAAGAAGAAGATAAACTATGAAATAAATGTGATCCAAACTTATAAAATAAACTAATTAAAACATATGAGATAATAAAGATGAACAATTTCAATTGTGCATCATGAAGATAAGGAGTAATGGAGAAAGGAGGTGGTTAACATAAGGTTATCCATATAAACCAAAAGCTGAAGGAAGAAACAACAACAACAATTCAAAAAATTAACAAGAGTTGCTACGCAATTGAATCAAGTTCTCATGATCTTTAAGACTTATTTATTAATAGACTTTTAATTTCATGGCAACAATCAATATGCATATAACTCGTAGGTAAATAGCTTGTAAGCTGGTAGTTTGTAAATGATAATTAATAGGCTTATAATAGTCAGCTTGTAGTCTCCATCATCAAAAAACTAGAGATACCAATATATATATATATTTTAAGGAATTCTAGTGTATCCTTTATAATCAATTAAAAAGTCATCAAATGAATGTAAATTCCTTCATCTTAAGATGTTTGATTATTTTTTTACTTTTAGATTATTTGATTACTCCGCAAGTTTTATTTTACTTTTTGCATATTAAAAGATCATAAAAATTTTAATACAATATTATAAGTGTGGAACTATAAGTCTAGAGTTATAAGAATAGTGTCTAAAGTTCAAATCGTTAATATTAAATTTAAAATTTAACTTTGAAATTTAAAATTGTTTTAATTAAAGCAGATACAAAAGAATCCAAAATATATAAAATTAAAATTTGATTTCAAAATCAAAGTTTTTTTTTTTAATTTTTATATCAAAATAGCAAGAGAAACATAAGAAAAATAAAGAATGTCAAGAAGTGAATAACTTATCTCAAGAGCCAGAAAATCAATTCTTGTGGATTAGGTTTGGAAACGAAATATTGCTCACCTTCATGTCTGTTGGTAGTAGTACATGTAACAACTTGTCCATTGTTTAATATATTCACCCATGGAGACAACATAAAATCGAGAATCTTTTTTCTATTCTTGATTCTTATTTGGAAGTGCAGTTCAAATAAAGATGGATCAAAATTTAATTGTTTTTTAATTAATTTTTAAATATTTTAAATATTTTAATATTAAAAATATTATTTTAATATATTTATAAAAAAAACATACTACTCACATAGAAAGTTACCTTGCCATGGTCACATGACATATCCTGGATTATTAGCGTGAGTTGATGTATTTGTTGTGATATGAGGAAGCTGTAGGGAGCAACATGTGCTATTGATTAGAAATATAAGCATAGTACCAAGCAGCTTATAGTTCAGTGGCGTAAGGTGCTGCTCGCCTTCTTTCGAACTTCGGTTCGAGTCCTAGTGGCAGTGGGGTTGGCGAGTGGTTTCCTTCCTATGTCTGCTGGCTCCTCTCTGTGTGGTACGCTTGTCACCCCCGCGGTGCCTTACCTGTTCACTGGGCTTGCAGGATGTTCAGTGGACCGTGGAATTAGTCGTGGTGCGCGTAAGCTGGCCCGGACACCCACGTTAATAAAAAAAAATATATATAAGCATCGTCTTCTATCTCTCCTCGTTTTATTTATTTAGAAATATAAGCATCGTCTTCTATCTCTCCTCATTTTATTTATTTATTTATTTTTGATTATTTTTGGGTTATCATCTTCTACCAAATGCTAGGGCTCAACAGAAATAATAAATAAATAAATAAATAAATAATTTTTAAGGGAGTGGGATATTTTGGGGTAATGGCATTTAATATCTATTTGCAAATAAATTTTTAGGGATGGCTTTCAATAAATTTGCATTTTGCACCCACTTTTTAAAGCAGTGCCCCTAGAATAAGGGAATGCATATGTGCCTCGATCAGATTTAATGATAAGATTGGTGTCATGAGAAAACCTCCTCTCCACATTACAATTTCACTTTTTACGCGTTGAAGAGTTTAATCTCAATTGGGATTGGAATATACTATATAGTATTTATATATGGTTAGAAATAGTAATTTCTGTTGTTTTTACGGTAATGAATATTTTTAAATCATTCAATCGATATTAATTTCTTTATAATAAAATATCATTTATATTATATTGTTGCATTCTAAATAATTTAATGAGTTCTCAAAGGTATCGGTTCAAGCCCTATAAATTGTAAAAACAGATCACACATGCTTTTCTTATTGGTCGCTAAGAATTTATTAATCTGTACAATTTCTTCCTGATATTTTTCCAAAAACAAAAAGCAAATAAAAGAATTGCTAATCCTCGGAGAGGAAGGGGGGTCGAATAGGAAACGGACATCGAATTTCTTTTTATTTTACTTACCAATAAATAAAGTCACGAGGCATTAAACACTGTTGAAGTACAGTCTTACGGCGGACCACGATTCTTAAAACACGGACTGTCGTTAAAATTAACAATTTTCTGAACATATTTTTTTCTTTCTTCCCTCATTCTTCAAGTATGAAAGGGCCCTTTTTGTCAAATAATCGATACTCGAGCTAAAGGCCATAAAAATAAAAATAAATTATAAAGAGAGAGAGAGAGAGCAAAGAGTAAAGACGATAAAGCTGGAATCCTGGATGTATATAAAGACACCCTCTCTGCTTCTGTCCTTCTGCAAAACAGAGCAAACGCGCAAACACACTCATATACACTGAAAGTGGGATTGGGAGAGAGAATACTTAGCCAAGAAGATGTTTCAAAGCTCAACAAGGAGCAAATGGTTCGCTTTGTTTATGCTCTTCTTCGCTCTTTTTGCATCTGCAATCCTTGGAGAAGATGGTAAGTGTTTTCTTTCTTGTTTCCTTTCCATTTCTTACTTCTCCTTTTCTCTTTCAAACCTAAACAACAAGTGCATACCTTTTTTCTTACTCCATTATAACTTGTTTAGTAGATGCTTCTTGTTTGGTAGATATGTATATATTCTTTGTGGGTTATTGCTATTTTTGAGATCTGATTTACATTTACCCTACATACTTCTAGTTGTGGAATGCTTGGATTTTCAGCAATTACGCCTTATGTTTGAAGGATTAGGAGTATAGCATTGCGCACAAGCATGAACAAGAAAACTCCTAATCCTTCAAACTCCTAATCCGCGAGCTTTAACTTGAATACGGATACTAGCCCCGTCATTTGAAACTATAATATTCATGGAAACAGTTTGAGTCTCCATGACATTTTGAAGAAATAAACATTTATAGTTTTGATGTTGTAAGGTTGCCGGCTCATTCTTTGGCACATATGCTAGGAAGTCATAGAGCTAATTATATATGCATAATTGGAATACAGATTACCAGAAAATTGACCAATAAACTTATAGATCATATATTTCAAAGTAATGATTCTGAACTTCATTTTCAACACACAGAAGAATATTTAAGGAAATGAATTGCAATTGTGTTTTTTTTTAAATAGAGGTCAATAGACCGTTGAAAAGTAGTTATATATATTAAGGTCTTGAATTTGTTTTGGTCACTAGGCATTTTCCCCCCATGGTATATCCAACATGGATGCATTAAACCTTTTTCTTTCCCTTTCTTTCTCCAACCAATATTGCAATTAACTTGTGAGAGGATCGCTATTTCAAATGTTGGCAGAATTGTCCTATCAAAGATCTATACGGTGATTGTCTTCTCCTACGTATTTAGACCTAAAAACTTTAAGTTGAGATAGTAATGGGGGTAATATCACCCAATTTCTAGACATGGGAAGCTCCTAGATAGTAATATTATTGTTGTTTATGTACATGCCGCCCGCTCTCTCCTCGTCATGTGGGATGGGTAAAATTACTAGAGTAGAACATTCTGCCGCCAAAAATTAGTTCATGCTGGCATAAGTTAGCATAGTGACAAGGGTTCTTTC